GGACTTAATTTGTCTTATTGGTTACAATAATACATAAATATTTGGTCTGAATTCTAATTTTATGTCATTTTAATGAGGAATTTTTGATGTCCTTATAAAGCTGAAACCTCAAATTATATTTAAATATTAAGATTTCCCAGCTAAAAAGAAACTAAACTTTGCTAACTCACAGGGAAAATCTCAAAATTTTAAGATGTTTTTCCTCAAAATCAGTTTTTTTGTTGCTACTGCTCAAAAAAGTGCTTCAAAATTTAGTTTTGATTATATTTCAGACAGTTCATTCAAATGATACATTACATACAAGGTATTTATTCATTATATTTTGACAAAATGCAACTTTTGTTAACATTTTAATCAAAACACTATATTTGCCTATTTCTCCATAAACCACTTTTGGACTTAATCCTCATTTTGATGTGACGGCTCACATATATGTTGCCTAAAGTGAGGTTTGTTGTCATTATCTGTGATGATGTTGAGGGCATTGCTTCAGTTGTTYGTGCTAAAGAAAGACTCTTTACTGATCTGTCTACGTTCCAACCTTCACCCGTGGTCACGAGGAGTGGACGACTGAAAGAACAAGACCACAGATACAAGCAGCCAAAATGTTTCCTTTGAAGGGTGGCTGGGCTCAACCACCCACCCTGAGGAGCTCCATTCTCCAGGGGGAGCTCAGAGTAGAGCCGCTGCTCCTCCACATAGAAAGGAGTCAGTTGAGTTTGTTTGGGTATCTGATCAGGTTCCTTCCCTTTAGAGGTTCGTCCCACTGGTCGGAGGCCCTGGGTTTGACCCAGGACTCACTGGAGGGATTATATATCCTCTCTGGTCTGGGAATGCCTCTGCATCCCCCAGTTTGAGCTGAGAGAGCTGTCCGGGTTTCTCWKCTGGACATGTTGTCTCTGCGACCGGATTACAGATGAGCGGTAGAAGATGGAGATTGATGAGGCTAAAATGTTCTTTCATTCATTCTTTTTACATCTGCAGGTTGTTCTAAAGGTTTATAAATGTATGTTTATTTGAATTCTTTATTTCAGGACACGTTTTGTTTGTCACTGACACCAAGAACCTCAAACTGGCTGAAATGGATGAACAAAGTGTTGAGGTGTGTACAACACACACAGCTCACCACATTTTATTATTTAATCATTCTTCTGTTGTGGAGCACAGATGGACAGTCAACCCCCTGGAAATCTTTAGTTTTTGTTCATGTGAGTGATGTAATCAAGCTGTGTCGATGTAAACTGTCCTCCTCTTTGCAGAGCATCGCTGAYGTGTTTCGCTGCTTCATCTGCATGGAGAAGCTGCGGGACGCTCGCCTCTGCCCACACTGCTCCAAGCTTTGRTGCTTCAGCTGCATACGAGTCAGTGCTAACACACCTTTTAGCATCTGTTAGCAGAAAATAATTTCATTAGRTGCCCAAATGTGTTGTTGATAAAGAAGCTACAAGTTTTTACTTGAGGATTCTTGCATCGCTAAAGCATCTAACTTATGTTTAGGGAAATTAATTGCAAAAATAACTATTTTTCAGATAAATCTTGATTTGTGTTTTATATATGTGACCCATCATATCAAAATGAGGATTAAATCAAATTTGGTCAAAATGACCTAATTACGTTTTCAGATT